GCGGGCGGGCGCGCCTGGCCCTGGCCCACATGCAGACGCCGCCTCTACTCGCCGTTGCAGGAGCTGGGCGCGGTGAACGCGGGCTTCGAGGCCGACGAGGACGCCCGCAAGGCGGCCGAGGCGGCCGCCGCCAACGCCAACGGCGTCCACAAGGAGGTGGCCGTGGTGAGTAGACACCCCCTCCCCCCCCCACACACACACACGCACATGCGCACGTTGCCTCTAAACGCAAGGATACTGGTTTTTTGCACGAAAACTTTTAAGTGAGAATTTGCTAGTTATACCGTATATACCAGCGTTTAGTGTATTGTATTCATTTAGGACAATGATGAAATATGTAGGGTAGCACGTTATAGAGAAATATAAAAATCAGAAACATCAGTGGTGTTCTGCGAAGCAATCACCAAGCGCTGACAGTGATGTTGCTCTACGTACACTCATCATCATCATCATCATGAAAAAATCTTACGAACTGAGAAATCTTACGATCTCTCGTTTCATTGCTATTTCTATATCTTCGCAATGGAAACAAGCGTATCCTACTTAGTAAGTTGGGTAGAACGATGACTCACGAATATCGCGATCTCTATATCTGATTCACGTGTCGTGAAAGAATAGTTGCCAACCTATGTAGTAAAACTGGTATGAACGAGTGCAGTGGGGAAAACTGCTCGTTTAACAGATGACATTTTAAAACTTCCAATACCAGAGCCTGGAATACCACGGAATGTGAGAATACACATGTTCATCTTGTTTTGGTGACCTTCCAGAATCGACACCAATTATGTCGCCTGTTGAATATTGATGAATAGTGAAACTACAAAAACTGTTACACTGAATCGCGGATGAAGAAAACAAGAAATAGTGCGGAATTTTTTCTTTTCGTTTTGTTTGTTACTCACTACGTAAAATTTCTTTGGCGTTTATTTCCTCTAGAACATTCAAAGTGCTTAACAAATTTGTCGCAATGAGAACTGAATGAGATAAATCGCACCCTCGTTTAAAGTCCGGCTCCCAAATTTTATGTAAGGAACGGAATTACTCATCAATTCTAGAAATCAAGCATTAGCAGCACAGCGGGCCGGTGCTTGAGAATGCGGAAACAAAAACCTAAGGACACAGAAATGGTTCAATAATGGCGCGGGAAACACACTCACATGCTCGGACTGCGAAGGTCGCGGCAACGGGACCTGCAGCGGAGGAGAGCGGACACCAGAAGCCGAGGTGTCCGTATCTCATGCACAGACCCAAAAACTTTCCAATTAAAGTAAATGAAGTGTACGTGGTATATGCTTGGAACAGTTCCAAAACCTATTCCAAATTACATCACCACGTTATGTTTTCGTCTCAATGACAGAACTAGCTTGTGGCTAGCAAAAATGTTTCTTTCGGTCATTTGAAACAAATGTAGTTCTTTACATTGCACCTGGTTATTTATTAATGAAAGTGATTTTAAATATGATTAAGTCTATATAATCAGTATAATAATTTTATAACATTGGGACGGGATAGGGTGATAATTTAATTATATTCGAAGATTTATACAATATGCAGTGATTGGCAATTTTGTTTTATTAGCAAACCGTACATCCCATTAACGGCAAGAGCCTCAAGCTTGAGTAGGAAGTTATTAATACTTCTTTAAGTGATATGATGATGATGATGATGATGATGATGATGATGATAATGATCGGTGAAATGACGATCACAGATACATCCATGCCCGAGGCGGGATTCGAACCCCCGAGATCGCCACGACACAACTGCTTTAGCGATCTCGGCTACTTAGATTGGCGTTTGGCAAAAAAAGATGTATAAATGACATTAAAAGAAATAATTTCTGCACGTCAGAAAGAACTACAGCTTATATCGAATGAACGAGTTGAGGTGTGCGTTATAACCTCGCGCGCGTGTGTGTGTGTGTGTGTGTGGCAGGGGGAAGTGCAAGGCGACGAGCCCGAGCGCCAGCAATGGAGTTCCCCGGTGGAGTTCCTCATGTCGTGCATCGCCATGTCGGTGGGGCTCGGCAACATTTGGCGGTTCCCGTTCACGGCCTACGAGAACGGCGGCGGGGCCTTCCTCATCCCCTACATCATTGTCCTGCTCGTCATCGGCAAGCCGCTCTACTACCTGGAGATGGCGCTCGGCCAGTTCACCAGCTTCGGCTGCGTCAAAGTGTGGAACATGATGCCCGCGCTCAAAGGTAAGCCGCCACTCGATCGGCACGCGGTGTGCAATTCAAAATGCACCTCGCACGTGAATTATTGATGTTTCCAACCACTGCGGTCATTAGTCCCATTAGTGTAGAGAATGCCCTATCGCGTGGAGGCGGTGTTTTGCCCTTGCTGGTTGCTGAGATCCAGCTCAGACCTATAAGTCGGCTCGCAGGTGATTTCCCCCTACAGGTATTTCTCCAGTCGGGAAAGTTCTCCAGTCGGGAAACAAGCTCTAAGATTTACACGTAGGCTTCCGCGGCTGCAGTTCATGACTTCTAGGCTGTCCGGGTGACGCCACGTCGTTGGCAGGTAGGCCGACGTTTCGCCTGTAATGTCTCAGGCTTCTTCAGACTACCCTGAAGAAGCCTCCGATATGACAGGCCTATCTGCAACGACGCGGCGTCAACCGAACAGCCTAGAAGTCAAGCTCTAAGATCCCGGCGAGTACGGTAGTGAAGTATGTGAAAGTGAGAGGAGAGAATAGGGCAAAGATGAGAAAAGAAAGATTGCGCGTGGTCCGTGGTCCATTTGTTAGGGTACTGCTCTGTCATTCGCTCAGTGTTGGTTGACGAAACCATGTAAAACTACCAATGAGAATAGCCTGCCCCAGTTGAATTCGACCTAGCTTTCTAGCCAGTTCAAATATTATGCTAATGTCGGGATTCGAACACTTGAACCTCCCAATTTGGGTCATTGCAGAGTCAGCGGCGGTGTTGGTTCTATATGATTCTAGATGCCAATGGAGTAGTTTTCCATCATTGGGTGCCGAAGTTCAAATTTCGATCAATCCATGATGAATTTATAGTAAACGAGTTTTGCTGGAGTTCTCCTGTTTACGCTCTTTATCATTCCACTTTTGTCGCATCACCATTATTTGCACATTTTTATTTGGGTTACATTGAAACGCAATACTTCCGACTTGCTTGGAAAAATTGAGTTTTTTTACACCTTACCGAGATTGTGCGTTATGCGAAGTGTACGTCCAAACTTAATTCCGTTCTTTCAAAGAAATATTTTCCAAACAACACAGATAATTTGATGACCAGTACAGCATGTGTCTTTTCAGAAATCAACAACAAAATCCCGTTTAATAATTCCCTTTAGAAATACATTCGACGTACTTAGCAAACAAAAACGTCGGCCCTTTGAAACTATCACTGCCGGAGTTCCGCAGGGATCACTTCAGACTCGACACCTGTACACCTACGTTCCCTCCCTTACGGATCGACCATCACGATGCATCTTCAAGAGGCTTCTGCAGACCTCTGAGAGCTGAAAGGTATTCCCACTCGTGGATGCGGTTTAGTGGGCAGTGACAGGTTCGCACCGGTTGGATCCTGTTGGGCCGGCGCGGGGTGGAGCGGGGCGGAGCGAGGCGGAGCGGGGCGGAGCGGGGCGGAGCGGGGCGGAGCGGGGCGGGGCGCCTGATGGGTCTCTCCCCCTCCACCCCCAGCCAGGAAGGAGCGGAGCGCAGCGCAGAAGCCGGTCCGACCTGTTTGCGCGCAGGCACCGCCGGGGGCTGGCGCAGGGGCTCGCGTGCGCAGCTCCGCGCTGCACGGCGCTGCACATGCAAGGGGCCACGCGGAAAAATGCTTCGTCGCGTCGCGGCTACGGGCGACGCGAGCGCTCCCGCGGTTAGTGATGACAGTTTCCCGAAACATCACCGAACGGTTTTGCATGTGGATGAAAACATTCGCAATTTTGGTATATTAGCCCTGAAGAAGGTCCCGTATGGCGGAAGAAATGTTGGCCACTTGGCGTTCGCCGCGTCGTCCACGCAGGTGACCTGCGTCTTCTTTGACTGGTCAATTAAATTCTCGATATCTAAAAGACGCCTTCGTAATCATTTTGAAAACGTCAATATTATTTGTAATACACTCTGCCAGATGCTTCGTTTTGCAAAATGTAGGATTATTATACCTTTATCGTAGGCTTTTTGAATTCGCTTGGTTGTGTTGCTGTTCAATTACATTTGTATTGTGAACGTGAACAATGTGGTATTTCTTATCTCTAACGCATTAATAAAGATATGCAGATCACAACGTTTTTCAAAAATATGTGTCAGTCATGAAAATGATAACCTTTTCTTTGTTTTTGCTTTATCGAGTCCCAAATTTAATGAGCATCTGACAAATATATCTGAATAGAAAGAAATAAAAGACTGGGAAGGCGGGAAGAGTTATTTTGATTGAGACAAAGCTTTATATTATTTCAGAGAATTTGCGGTTTTTTTACCTTAAAAAACGTTGTTAAAGTGCGCTCGTGCACGAAACAGATGGAAACAGAAATATAAAATATCTAAATAGAAGAATTTCGTAATTGTTTGTGAGTACGGTTATGTTCGCAGATCATTAGCATGTACATCCAAACAATCCGGGCGTGAGGTCATATATTAGAGCCAATTTGAACAATCAGCGTCAGTAGTGAAATTTCAAGAACATGAAGTAATTCGGCGACTCTTTCTTGTTTCGTGGCAGAAGACGAAGGCGATGAAAAAACAAGTGAACTTTTGCTGTATCACTACGCCAGTAGTTGATAAAGCAATTAAGAAAAATAGAATAATTATCATTACATATAAAACCTCTCTCTAGACACAAAATATATTAAAACCATGAGGAATATTTTGAAAAAAAAATCCAATAAAAAATGAGTTATTTCCTCGTTTTTGTTGTGCATAAAAATAAAGCTAATATTGTATGTAGTGTTTAAATGTATTTTTGAAAGCTCTTTCGTATCGTTTATATTGGATGAGTTGATATAATTTAGGTTTTTGATTAAACATTTTGCCGAATGCGGGTTCTGGGTAGTGTATCAGTACATACCAATGAACAATACGCTATCATCTCGGCTTCACTTACGGCTGCAACGCTTAGAAGCTACAACTTGCAAGCAGCAGCTTGCAAACAGCCCACTGTCATTTTGCTGCACTTTGCAGCTCGTTTACTAGTTACTCCATTATTACTTACTTCATTTTGCAGCTCGTTTACTAGTTACTGACCCTCAGTGTAAACACATCAGCTACTAAATTCAACGATCAGTTTGCAATGTCACTCTACTCTTATTGATTGCGTAAACTTTCAAACAGCAATACTTCCGTACGCTCTGTTCAGAAATTTCCAGTTCCGAAAATCGAGCCTTGAACAACGGGTCGAAGGTGTAATTACACTAGAGCCGGGCGTTGTTGAAATGCTCCGTGCACTGACACACGTGAGGAGGCGTTAAGTATCACCTTAGTGACCTCCAAGAGCTTCTGTCAACACCTCTGTTGTTCTCTTCAGCTGGGAGCTGCGACTAAACTATTCCTGTTCCAAGTACCTCAGTAATATTACGACGCCGGCGTTTGCCAGGGTCATTGAATTCCGGTCAACCCGGATCCAGAGTTGTCTTGTCAAGTTTTCTGCAACACTTAGCCATTTAAGATAAAATGAACAAAGAAATTAAGACTTTTCATCTTATTTGAGTACCGCGAGAAATCATTTGTCATGGTCGAGCAAAAAGTCATATCCAAGTTTAGAAAGATCCGTGGAAGAAGCGCGCTCGCCATTTGTCTTCAAACATGAGTTCCTCCTCAACTTAAACGTTTATCTGATAAGCGCAAAGAGGAAATCGCAAAGACCTTCATCCGGTTAGGTGTCTTTCATAGAGGGCGGCACTAGCGTGGGTGTTGGGCGTTGTCAAAAACACCCATGATAAAGAAAGGTTGCGCAGTTATATCTCCCGCTATCCCGCAACTTCCTACTCTAACGAAACATGTGTTGTGCGGATAATGAGTCATCTAGAATTTCGCGCGCGACCAAACGTGCTTGGGTCGCGTCAGATGCTGATTTAGTGAGTTTGTCGTGGAGAGAGAATATTTAGTTATTTTCAGCTCTTATATTATGAGGAAGGCCACAAAACATGAGTAATTTCTTGCAAGTAATGCTCTAATTTAGAAAGTGAGGAAATTAAAATTTAAACTGTCATTTTCTGTAATAACAGTAATAATAATAATAATAATAATAATAATAATAATAATAATAAAATGGTCCATATTTGTGGTGACCCATATCAAAGCGAAATAATAAAGAATAATTAATCATTTCAGATTTTGAGAAAGCAAACAATCCTCTTATACTAATATTCTGAGAGAGAATTACACTGTGACAATGTTTGTTAGTATTACGAATAAATCATACAACTACAACTAATGGTCCTTGCTCATGCAAAACATTCATGGCGAACATAAATGGCAATTGTAACAATTACTAATTTTGTTTTTCTGTATTGTCCGCGATTCACTCATATCACCTGTAGTACCAATTATATGTAAGAATTGCTTGTCAAGTCTGTACTTACAATTGAATCTGTTTTCCATTTTCCGCATCAGTGGAGAGTTTCTTGAACAGTTTGAACTGAAATTCACGACAAGTTATGGAGCAAGGTTAAATTTCGTCGTTCAAAAAAAGACAAATAATTGTGTGGTTGTGTGTGTGAGCGCGCATAACTCGTTTTGCTCGCCCAACCTCTACCAAGGTCGATTAAAATTACCTGTGAGGTTTCTTAGCGTGATCAAATTGCAGACTTAATACCTGCTATTACGTATTACCTAAGTGCATTCATTTTTAACACTGAGAGTGATGCATGTGTCGTTTTGAGATCTTATTGTTGAGAAAGTAATCTTCGTTCAGTTTTCTTGTCATAACAAGATTTTGAATTACGATAAATGAATGCGGCAGTAGCTGCGAGGTTCACGAGAATATTCTTGTAAACAGAAGAATTACATTTACAAATTAAACTCATCATTAATTATTTAAGAGTTGTCAGTGAATGCAGCTGCAAAGCATCCTAACCAGAATGTCCTAGGTTCAATTCCCGACGATGGTAAATGTTGGACATCAGCTAAGTTGTTCATGAAATAAAGCATTTGTCTTGATAAGCATTATGAAGTTCGACTGTTCTGATCGGACGTTCTCGTGTTGTCCTCCTAAGTATGAAACAGAAAAATGCCTTTTGCTACAAGAGAGAAATCAACCATCATCGTTCCTTCGTCATGCAGTCGCCACTCCCACTCTAAGGGGGTTCAAGTCTCGACGAATTTTCAACTCTAGCTATACAGTTAGGTCGAATTCAGTAGCTGGCTGCTCTGATCGATAGTTTTCCGTGGTTTCTCCAATCCACACCAGGCGAACGCAGAAACAGTTCCCTATTAAATAGGCCTTGGACCACTTTCCTTCCTCTTGCTTGCCCTATCCCACCCCTGATTTACAGACTCTTACACTCTGATGCACTACCCGACCAGGTACTATGTCGGGAGACTGGTCGGGAGCTTAGAGGTTGTGCCTGCTGGGGCGGTGCCCTGCTGGTGGGAGATACCTGGTTGGGGAAAATCCCAGCAAGCCGACGAAAGACTGCGCTAGATCTCGCCATTCAGTTGGGGAAGATCACAGCTACCTCCCGCGGTGAAAACATTCACTACACTTAAGGGACTAATGATAATATGGATGACGCGCCCACAATCACTAGTTAATCAATCCAGATTATTATTATTTATTATTATTATTTTTATTATTATTATTTTATTATTATTTTATTATTATTATTTTTATTTTTATTATTATTATTAATGTTACTGTTATTCTTGTAGTTTGTTTTTTTTGTTTCTTGTTGACGTTATTAAAATCCTCGGCCCAGCTGCTTGCGTTGCGATTAACGCGTGTGTGTTGTGGTGGCAGGCATGGGCTACGGGCAGGTGTACGCAACGGGGCTGGTGCTGACGTACTACTGCTCGCTGATGGCCCTCACCGTCTTCTACCTGTACTCGAGCTTCGCGGCGACGCTGCCGTGGGCGGCGTGCGACGACGCGTGGACGGACGGGGTGGCGTGCCTCAACTCGTCGGCGACGGCGGAGCAGCAGAACACCTCCGGCACCACGCCCTCCGCCGAGCTCTACTTCTAGTGAGTCTTTTTTTTTTTCTTTTTTCCACTTTGTGGTCGCGAAGTAGAGAGTATACGAAAGGAAACTTGGCGGAGGACTTCTTACCGGAAGTTGCATTTATTTGCGTTTTCGAATTAGGCCATACGATTGCAATATCGGCTGAGTGGGGGCGGGGGATCAAATAAACCAAACCTCAACACCAACATGGTGTAGGGTTACTTTTTTTAACTTCTATCCCTTTCCGTTTAATGATGTGTTTCCATTGCGAATATTTTTTTAATGTTAATTTTAAAAAAAAATACTTTCCAATAGTAGTTTATGCAATTAGTTTATAATGTTAAGCTTTATTGAATGAATACATGTTTTGAAAACGAGAGACTCTAGGAGCGAGTTTTCAAATTTGTACGAATATATACTATATTTTTTTGTATAACAGCATTATACATTTCTAAGAAAATCAAACTTAATTTTGCGAAACAACTTCCCTGAGACGACGCGGGTATTTGACCTCGTGCGAGTAAACGGTGGTCGGCTGTTCCGTTTAGCTCTACCTCCTCCCGATTCTCTCGCTACAATTGGCTGAATGTGTGGACGCAATCATTCGTGACATAAAATCTAATACGTCATCATTTGTGCCGTGAAATACCCAATTATGAACGATTTCTTGCAACAGAGAAGGTTCTTTTATAATGCTGGAATACAAAAAAAGTATTTATGGGAAGTCGAAACTGAAATTAACTCTTGAAACGCTGAGCTCCTAGCTACTTTTTTTTACT